GTTCCCTCAGTGCTCATGTGTACTTGACGAAGCCCGCATAAGAGTGCGCTACTTTGCACGCACATTACATGTGTGGGGTCCTATCCTGGCAACCATATGAGCCTGAACAGTGTCCCTTGCACGTCTGGCATGCCATGGTGCTCGTGCTGTAATTCTTCTCGGCACCTTGGTACCCATTTAAACTCCCACTAAAACCACCCACTAAACAAGCTTACAAAACATGCAAATAATAAACTGAAGCAAAATAAAATTCATTAAACATTTGACAAAAACCATTTCCATTTAAATTAGCTCTTGCATGCATATTTAAGGGTCTCTAAACAAGATAGAAATTTTATTAGAAGTATAAAAACATGACTGTAATCCTTACCAATAGTTAAACAGAGTCTGGTCTCCAAAAAAGGGAATGGGAAGGTGTGGTTTCGAGGAAGAAAGCTTACTGCAGCGGCCAATTTTGCAGAATCTGTCTGTAATAATCACAGAGAAGGAAAATGGAGTTTAGGGGATGTATTGTTTCAAGAAGAAAAGAAGGATAATGTAAGTGAAAGGCTTATCTCTCAAAGAAGGGAGGAGCAGCTCGATGACAAGCTTGTTGCAGTAGAGCGGCTCGCTTTTCTCTTTTTTCGCTCTCGAGTTTCCTCTCTCTATCTCTCTCAAAGTTTTTTTTTTCTTTCAAATGGTAAAATGGAAGAATGAAGAAATAGAAGAGAATGAAGGTTTAAATATGGAGAAGGAGGATAAACGTGATCCATCGGATTACATACAAGCATGCATGACCTGAAGCTACCAAGTGTCTATCAGTTGCAGTAGACATGAAAGCAACCTGGTCCAACAGTGGTTAGTCGGGTGAGTGGATGTTTCTATCTGTGTGTACGCAGGTTCTATCACAGGGGTGGGGATTTTGCTGTCGGGCATGTATATGCCACGAGGCATTCCCGCAGGCTTGTCTGCAAGGTGCTTTTCTTTCCATTTTTTAAAAAAAATTGATTTTAATTCCAAATTTAAAATATAAACTTGGGAATGTCACAAGTCATATTTTAAATATTTAACTATTCGCTTTATGAATTCCCTGGACAGTGTTTTGGGATAATTTTGATCACTTTCTTTCTAACGATCTATAGTCTCCCTTGACCGTTAGCCTTCTTCTCTTCTCTTCCTTTTTTTCTTCATAAATTTACTTGGCACTCTTTTTTATTCTTTCTCTTCCATGATTCTCCCTCTATTTTCCCATCCCCTATTTATAGAATTTGGGGAGTTGCCACCCTTTTATCGTTTCACTTCACCCGAAAGGTTCCCACTATTGCATCATGCCTCTTTATCTGAAAAGTTATCACCCTTTCTTCATGTCTCTTCATACTCTTCCAACTGCTTTCTCATCCTTATCCATCCTTTAGTTGCTTGCTAACTAAATTTAGGCTCAAGTGGAGCCTATTAGAATCCCTTAGGCCCGCCTAAACCCATGAGGCCCATTATAAGCTTCTCTACAAGCCTTTTGGTTTTTCCTTGGTTCTCTCCCAAATTTTTTTGCTACAAAATTTTTTTTTCACTTCTCAAAAGTACTTTTTATACTCCTAAGACTTTGTTGTCGCCTCGAAACTCATTCCTTGGCCGAAAAACTTGATTTTCCTCATTGAGAGAATATTCTCACTCTTAAGGGGCCTAATATTATTATTTCCTTTCCATTTGTTGTTAAAATGAGTTCTTATCCTTACTATATCTCCTTAAATACACTTACACGCTTAATCAACCATTTAAAATATGAAAGTCATATCGGAGAAAATTTGAATTATTACATAACATCTTAAATAGTTTTGATATTATTTTGTAAACTAATACAAATTAAATTTAATTTATGGAGTTTAAATATTTTAAAGAGACTGACTTATGTCACATTTCTCACCATATTTGTGTTATACTTTTTCACTTAATCTAATCTAATTGGTTTATTATTTTTGTTGGTTTCTTTAATTAAATTTTTATAGGCAGCATTAACATGTAAGTTATATTACTTTATATTTGTAACTTAAATTTTTTATAAAAAAAAACCAAGTCATTGAATGTTACTTATTCTACATCCAATATATGTTAAAGCCTAAAAATAAATGTATGTTTTGTGGTTCTTAAAAATTATCTGTTTATTAGTTTATTTTATATTGTAGTTTAGATGATTCTATTTTCAAATAATTGAGTAATCATATTACAGTTTCTCGCTATAATAATAAATTTTATGAGCGTTTAAAGTAATTGTAACTTGTTATATAAACTTTTAAAATACTATTAAAATAGTTATTAATTAAATATTTTTAGTTAAAAAATTAATTAATATTTAATAAAAAAATTATAGAAATTGCTCTCACTGTACAAAATTTAGAATTAATAATTAACTTTATAGTAGTATTGAGAACAATTAATTAATTTGTTTTAATTGGAGTAGGTGGATCATAATAACAAACATTTACGAGATAGAAGAATATGATTACAATATTTATACTGATTTGCATTAAATCAAAATCTTATATTTTTGAAATCTTTTCTTTTTTGTCATTCAAACAAAGCAAAAGAAAAAAATTCATCAATTTATTCTTATAAATGTATACATATACATATACATATTCATATATATGTACATATATGACACCTTTAGATAGTTGGCACAATAAAGTTTTTAACTTCACCCTTCCTAATTGTATTTATTATATTAATTTAAAAATAAAAAAAAAAAAAAAAAACAGGCCACGTTTGTTAGATGCAGCTGTCTTCTGCCATGTTCTCTCAAAACCTAATTACGATCCAATTAAATTATCTATTTGGTATATAAAATGTTTGTTTTATTGTTAATATATTTTTATTTATAGTAAAAAAAAATTATCTATTTCACATCAAAATTCTTAAATCAACTTTTAACACAATTCTTATAAGTCATTTTATGAATATTTTTATGTATTAATTTTATTATTAGTATTTATATTTTTTTAAAAAAAAATCTGTTTTATATCAATAAATTTTAATTATTTTTTTTAACAAACTTCTTATCAGTGTTTTTAAGAACATTCTAACGTATTAATGTATTATAATCAATATATATATATATCTATTCATCTAAAACCATCAAACTAATTTCATGGTTATAATCATCTAAGTATCTGAGAATTTACTAAAGTTAAATTTGAGATATTCAAGAATTATAACTTTCTTAAAAAAGTATATACAATTAAAAGTGTAAGTTGGAAATATATACGTACAACAACAAAATGTTAACAAACCCACATGCTTTTTGTTGACTATATAAAACTATACGTACATTCTTTCAATAGAGTTTAGAGATTATAAGCTCCCAAATGGACAAAAAGCCCACGATTTCTGCAGGCCAACTAAATTGTTTTTGTATGCGTTTTGCAGTGTCTCCATCTCCGTTTTTCATCTTCCATTTCCCACCACATTCTTTCATTAGCTTCAATGAAATCAAAATAGGCTTTTTAGGCGTATCATCAAGTACACACACACACACACATATATATATATGTCCACCATGCTTTACCCATAAATTATTCGACATAAGCACACGTGGGTATCTAATTTCCATCTCAACTTTTCAAGACATTGATAACCTAGTAACTTCGAATACCAAAATTATATTTGCCATTACTTTCATACTAACATAATGACTATAGGATGTAGCATTGTGAATAATATATTTTATTACTTTAATTTGAAAAATATAATCAAATACACTTGGTAGTCCATGCTAAAAAAAAAAATAACATTATTTATTTATTTCAATGGAGTTTACTTACAAGTTTATATTCCTCTTTCTTGGTATTGTGGAGCATGATGTCTATAATTTTTACCATTACTTGAAGTTGAGATTACTACTTCACTTAGGCTTAGGCTTGTAGAGATTATGGATTTTAGAATAAGGAAATTATTTGTTTTAAATTAGATTATTTGTTTCAAAATTTTGACTTATGACATCTTCAAAATAATTTTTTTTTTTTCATTTACTTTTAATATTTATCTCATTTTCTTAATATATATAAATAATACACATGAAATAGATAATTAAATAGTATTTAAAGAATTGTGCGACATCCTTTCAATCTTCTATTTCTCTATATTTAATAATTTGATATTTAATTTTGATTATTAAAACAGAAAATTATTTAATAACTAAAAGATAACAAATATGTGTCTCTGTATTGTTTGTTTAATGAAATTATTTATTTTATTCAACAAATTAATATGAAACAAAACGAGTTATATACGAATAATACATAACATAAAGCAAAACAATAGTGAAAAAAATAAAATATCATATTTAATTTTTTATACTTAAGTCAGTTTATTATTGACTCAAATCTCTCGTATCAATATAAATAGTACGTGACAAAAACCAACCTCTTATTAATAAATATTTATTTTTTAATTATTTCTTGTTGTAATTAAGAGAAATGGATTTATTGGAATTTTCATTACAAAAAAATAATAATAATAAATTGTGAAAATATTAACTATGAGAGTAAAAGTGGGTAAATTTTAATTGTTATAATAAAAGCAGCATTTATATCTTATAAAATTTATCAATCAAATTCTAAGTCTTTTAAGATATCTAAAAAATCCTATTTAATATTTTTACTTTGATATTATTTTTGAGGAAAAAGAATTAGTTCCAACCTTCCTAATTAATATAAAAAAAAATGTGACATAATCCTAAATTAATTTAATAATTAAGTAAAAATCAAATCAAATCAAACAAACAATAATTACTAATTAAACTCATTTTTTAGTGTCACCGAAAGATACACACCCTCCAATTTACAACTATTTCGAGTAATTACATTTCTTATCATTCAATATTATTGTATTATTGTGAAATTTTGAATTTGCGTCTAGTGCACGCGCGACGATCATTACAGCCGTTATCTCCGTTTCTTAATTCAAATTCAATCCGTATCCCCCTTCTTCCCTTTGACTCTTCTTCTCCATTTGGACTTGGCATGGAGTCTCGTACCTATATACATACTTATCTCTATCTATGTAAATGGTGTCTTTATATACATTTGTAAAATTACCGGGTATGTCTCTCTCAAACTTTTCCCTTCGAATCGCCAACAACGCCATCATGGCTTACTTTCAACTCAAGCAAGCATAACACGGACCCCATTACGATTCTCTCTCTGTCTCTGTGCCACCTAAAACACACGCACAGAGAGGAAGAAGAAGAAGAAAGAGCAGCACGCAAGATACACCCACTTCATCTTAATTGTTTTTCTTTTTTGTCTAAAATAAAAAAGGAAAAAGGAAAGAAATAGTGGAAAAGAGGAAAGTGGAAAAGTAAAAGCATGTCCCATATATTCAGAGACAAACCTAAAGAAGACTCCAAGAGACACAATCAATCCAACCGCGCTATGACGGTTTATCCAGATGAATCCTTGCCTTCTCCCCTTGGTAATCCGGCCCCTGCCCTTTCGGATTCGGAGCTCCGAGAGACTGCCTACGAGATCCTCGTCGCCGCCTGCCGGAGTTCCGGGGCCAGGCCATTGACTTACATCTCGCAGTCCGAGATGTCTCAAAGGAATCCAGGTCAGCCGGTGGCTGCGGTGGCGCCGCCTTCTCTGCAAAGGTCGCTGACGTCCACTGCCACGAGCAAGGTCAAGAAGGCGCTGGGGATGAAGTCCGGAAAGAGGAGAGATAGCGAGTCGGTCAGTCAAGGTGGCCGAGTCAAGAGAGCTGTGACGGCTGGCGAACTGGTTCGCGTACAGATGAGGGTATCCGAGCAGACGGACTCCAGGATTAGGAGAGCGCTGCTCAGAATTGCTGCTGGTCAGGTAAGCTTTCTGTTTGGTTTCTGGGAAAATTGAATTATTGGTCTTTTTTATGTGATTATTGACATTGAGTTACATAACGGCATAGGATTCATCAGAAAAATGACTGAAACTAATTGGTTTTAAAACCGCCATGCCATGTGTTTTGTTGTCGGAGGGTAAACTGTTAAAATTGCAAATAATTTTGTGTAGATAAAGAAGAAGTTTGTATAAACTGATTGGCTGCTGTCTTCATTTGCAATCTTTCCGAGTGATATCATGAATTCATGGTTATTGCGCTCGATAAACATTAATCTAATTAGTATATCATTGCATGAGAATTTGGATACAAGTTTGGTCTTGTGGTTAATGATTTCTGCTGCTTAAAGGGTCATTTAGTGAAGTCTGATTAGTTATCTTCATGTGTTTCATCAGCTTGGAAGGCGCATAGAATCAATTATTCTACCCCTTGAGTTATTGCATCAACTCAAACCTTCAGATTTCCCCAGTCATCAGGAATATGAAGCTTGGCAGAGAAGGAATTTGAAACTTCTTGAAGCTGGTTTGCTTTTGTATCCTCACCTACCACTAGACAAAAATAATACTGCTGCGAGGCAACTTCGACAGATTATTCAGGATGCCCTGGAGACACCTTCCGATACTGGGAGAAGCTTTGAAGCCCTTCGTAGTGCTGTTATGCCTCTTGCTTGCAGAACCTTTGATGGATCAGTTTCTGATATTCGTCATTGGGCAGATGGAATACCACTGAATCTTAGACTCTACCAAGTGCTCTTGGAAGCTTGTTTTGATGTCAATGATGAATGGGATGTTATTGAAGAGGTTGACGAGATTCTAGAACTTATAAAGAAGACGTGGATTATCCTTGGACTAAATCAAATGCTTCATAATGTTTGTTTCCTGTGGATATTATTTCAACGCTATGTTTCAACTGGTCAAGTGGAAACTGACTTACTCTTTGCAGCCAATAATCTGCTATTGGAAGTTGAAAAGGACGCAAAGGAAACGAAGAATCCATCTTATTCAAAGATATTGAGTTCTGTATTGAGTTCGATTTTGGGTTGGTCGGAGAAAAGGCTTGTTTTGTACCATGATACATTCCACAGTGATAATGTTGATTTAATGGAAAGCATCGTTTCTCTTAATGTTTCTACAGCGAAAATATTGGTGGAAGATATTTCTCATGAGTACCAAAAGAAGAGAAAAGAAGTTGACGAGACCTCGGCCTGTGACAGGGTTGACAGTTACATAAGATCTTCACTGCGTGCTGCTTTTGCTCAGGCAAGTTTATGTCATTTCAGCACATTGTCTGTACACATGGATAGCCATTAGAAAATGGAAGACATCTCCCCAACTTTATGATCCTGACGTATGTCCCAACTTATTACACAGGATTTATCACATCCTTTCTGTGTTTGTGTTTGGAATTTTTATTTTTAAAGACACAAAAGTTATAAAAAAAACTAATACATATAAGATATTTTCCGTACAAATTAACTTATTGAAGTCTTTTATCCTCCTTTTCTTAATTTATTACTATTACTTTTCAGAAAACTTCTGTGGCACCTTATTTTCTTTTACTCAATTGATTTTTACTGTTTGTTAGCTCTTAAAAGGTCTCTTTATCCCGGTGTTTGTATTGTCCAATGTTGACATGGTATTTCCTCAAATAATTGCCACTGTTGCTAAAATGCGGACAGAGAAGTAAGCATGTATAACTTTTGCTAGAAGCTTTTTAGTTGGTCACATTGTGATGCACTTAATATATGGTTTATCTTTAACTGATTGATGCGTTGAGTGAGGTCAGAGGCAGGACTTTGAGTGCAGGTTTATCTTTCAGATGTTTGTAGTCGTGAGTCTGTTTGTAGTCGTGACTCTCAACGGTGCTTGCCTGCTAATTTTAAAAAACCATAACTCATGATTATATTTCATTTGTGTCAACAGATACTGAAGAAGGTGGACTCTAGCAAGCGTTCTGACAAAAACCAGCGCAGTCATCCTCTTCTTTCTATCCTTGCAGAAAATACTGGCCAGCTAGCTTTCAATGAGAAGGCGATGTTCAGTCCAATACTAAAGAGATGGCTCCCTCATGCCGCCGGTGTAGCTGTAGCTACCCTTCATTCTTGTTATG